GCTCCCTGTCGACCGGGAGCCCGGGCCCGGGCAGCGGGTGCTCGGCCACAAACTGCTCCCAGCGCGCATCGTCGCTCTCGTGCGTGATGTACCGTTCGCCCATCTTCCCCTCCAGCTCCCGGAGGTCCAGCCACGTCCGGTACTCCTGGGCAGGGGAGGCCGAGGGTTAGCTCCGGGGCTGCACCCAGGACAGCCGGCCGGCCGCGGCCTGAGCAGCCCCGCGGTACTTACCATCCAAGGAAGGTGAAGCCACACCCCTCGCAACGCGCCCAGCCAATAGGGACTTAGCTCCACCCCCTTACGCGGCCCAGCCAAGCGCACCGACACCTTTTGCCACCTGCCCCGCCAGTAAGAGTCCCAGTTCCACCGCTTCCTCCAACCCCGCCAACGGGCCGGCCCCGCCCCTGCATCACCTGCAACCAGGGGTGGCTGAGAGACTTGTCCACACTGTAGCGCTTGCGCATCTTCACCTGCAGCAGGTTGTTGATGAGGTCGATGGCTGCACGGGAAGGAGGCAGTTCAAGCCCTGCGGGTGAGGGGCGGCCCCTCCTCCCATAGGCCACCCCAGCCTCCCGGCCTGTCTTCTTCTGCCCTAGCCCAGGTGGCTCAGAAGCCTCCCCTGTGCCAAACTTATTTAACAAATTTAACGAGGAAATCCACCCATTTCCTCATTAAATGACAAATTTGCCGGCTCCTCTGCGGGCACACTAGCTCCTATGTCTCTTCACCAATTCCCTACCTCAGTTTTCCCATTCCTATGTCACCTTCACAATTTTTGTCACGTGCAGGTACATACACCTGTACTATACTTCATTTATATTTTTCTTCAAGCTAATGCATTTACCCAGGCTCCAGGCCTCTCAGGAACCTCACTGCCCGACCACGTGGTGAGTGAGTCCTATGTACCTCCTGCCGAGATGTGGCTCCAGGGGCTGGCCGGGTACATGAAGGCAGCGTTCTGGATTTGGTCGTTGATGTCCTCGTCCTCGTTGAATGGGAACGTGCCGCTGAGGCTGACATACATGATCACGCCTACTGACCACATGTCCAGCGAGCGGTTGTAGCCCTGGTTGAGCAGCACCTCAGGCGCCAGGTAGGCCGGCGTGCCCACCACCGAGCGGCGGAACGACTTCTCACCGATGATGCGCGCAAAGCCGAAGTCACACAGCTTCACCTGAGGAAGGGAGGGGTAAAGGGCCTGAGCTGGTGGTGATGAAGCTGCACCTGCCCCAGTACCCCCTCCCCCCCAACCCTGGTATTCCAGAGAAAATCAAATGCTGGTTTGAATCAAGGCTCTGACCCTGGGCATGTGATCTCCCCTCTCTGTGCCTCAGCTTCCTCATCTGTACAAGCAGGAGCATAACAGTGCCTGTCTCAAAGGGCTGTCATGAGGATCACATGAGTTAATCCATCCTAAAGCTCACAGGACAATGCCCCACATACAGTGAGCGCTCAACAAATGCTACCTCGGGCCAACCTGTGGCTCACTGGGAGAGCGTGGTGCTGACAACACCAAGTCAAGGGTTGGGATCCCCTTACCGGTCATCTTTAAGAAAATAATAAAATAAAATAAATGCTACCTGTTGCTACACCTCTCCCGGCTGGAACAGGTCTCTAAACCTCCTTGTGCTTCCGTTTCCTATTTTGCACAAAGGAGACCTTAACAGTCCCTAGGCTTTCCTAGGGATTAAATGCGACCAGGTGTAAAGTGCTGACCACAGTGCCCAGCAGACAGTAGCAGGGGCATGCCTACCCTTCCCAGGTCATGGCCAGGCTTTGGGGCCAGCAAGACCTGGGTTCAAGGTCCTACTCTACTGCCTACCAGTCTGAACCTTGGTTGCCACCTCCTCTGTTCAGGTATTTTCTCTTCTCTGCTCTAAAACCCTTCCTTGGCTCACTGTTTCTCTTAGAATCAAGCCCCAAATCCTTGAAGCCTAACGCCTCTGTCACCTTCAAAACCAGCCACATTGAGATTCAGCCCAACCCCTGAGCTGAATCTCAGTGTAACAACCATACTCACCTTTCCTAAGGTCCTTTGCCTTTTTACAGTCCTTACTGATCTTTTCCTTTTCTGAGATCCACCCTTTTCTACAGCTCTTTTGATGAAATATCATTTGGCAATAAGCAGAAGTGAAGTACTAGGCTGGCCACTTAGCTCAGTTGGTTAGACCACTGCCTTATAACACCAAGGTACATGGGTTCGGATCCCACACCAGCCAGCCACCAAAAAATAATAAATAATGGAGTACCAATATGTGTTACAACATGGAGGAACCTTGATAACATTATGTTAAGTGAAAGAAGCCAGACACAAAGGACCACATATTGTATTATTGTAGGATTCCATTTATATAAAATGTCCAGAATAGGCAAATCTATAGAGACAGAAAGGAGATTGGGTGGGGAAGGCGGATGGCCATGGTGGGATTGGTGGATACTAGCTAAGGAGTGACTAAAAATGTTCTAAAATTGACTAACTCCGTGAAAATCCTAAAAGCCATTGGATTGTATACCTTAAATGGAAGAATTGTATAGTATGTGAATTGTATCTCAATAAATCTGTTAAAAACCAAAAGTACAGGGCCGGCCCGTGGCTCACTCGGTAGAGTGCGGTGCTAATAACACCAAGGCCCCGGGTTCGGATCCCACATAGGGATGGCCGGTTCGCTCACTGGCTGAGCGTGGTGCTGACAACACCAAGTCAAGGGTTAAGATCCCCTTACCGGTCATCTTTTAAAAAAAAAAAAAAAAAAAAGTACAGCTCCTCCAAACACAGCCCCTTTGCACAAGCTGTTCCCTCTGTCTAGAATACTTGTTCTCCCCCAAAACGGCTACTCTTTCTTCAGAGAGGTTTTCCCTGACTCTCCAACTAGAGCACAGATCTTCTGGTGATGTGAGCTCATAGAATTGTGTTACAGAACTCATGACAGATATAATGGCATTTGTATGTCACGTTGATCGTGTACTCTTCCCTTTATGATCTGCACTGTCCAGTACAGTGGACACTGGCTACATGTGGCTGCTGAGTGCTTGAAATGTGGCAAGTGATCCTGAGAAACTGATTTTTAATTTTAATTAATTTACATTATTTTTTTTTCCTTTTTGTCTCTTTTTTACTGACCGGTAACGGGATCGCAACCCTCGGTGTCGCGCCTATACCGGGGACCGGCAATGGGATCGCAACCCTCGGTGTTGCACCCGCACCATGCTCAGCCAGTGAGCGGGAACCGGTCTCCACATGGGATCCGAACCCTCGGCGGGAGCGCGGCGCACTCTCCAGTGCGCCACCGGGCCGGCCCTAATTTACATTTAAAAACTGATCCTCAATTCAGTTGCTGGAAAACTTTTAAATATGTTTGGAACAACTTGGGTATGTCAATCTATTTTTTCAACTGTTAATTTTACAAAGTCTAGATACAAATCAAGTATTTCTGCTAAAAATTTAGCATCTGAATAGAGATGTGCTATAAAAATCTGGTGTATAAAAAAATACACCGGATTTTATTGACTTAATATGAAAAGTAGAATATTTTATTTTTTCATTTTTTCTTTTTAAGCAACTACATCATATGATAATAGAATATTTCATTAATAATTTTTATGTCGATTACATGTTGAATAAAGTGTTAATGTTGGGATAAACTAAATTAATAAAATTAATTCACTTGTTTCTTTGTACTTTTCTTAATGTGGCATCCAGAAAATGTAAACTTATGTATTTGGCCTGTATTATATTTCTAATGGATACCACTGCTTTATTTATTTATTTATTTATTTTTAATTTGGGGGGGGGGGGCTGGCTGGG